AAATTATTCAGGTCAATTATGAACGATCCAAACCACAAATTGTACAATCTTTTACCAACTTTTAACGTTAATACTAGATACTCATTAAGACACAAGCGACATTTTATTGAACCTCCCTATTCTACTAATAGATTTAGAAATTCTTTTATTCCTGCATCTGTGCATCAATTTAATATGTAGATTATGTAATCAGTTCATCCAATGTAATTCAGCTATTGCTGCAATATTGTTTAATGTTAAAAATTGATTAACAATGTCGATAAGTTCATAACCTCGTCAATCATTACATTTTCTTGCAGTTGTTGGATCAGTGCACTTGCAGACTAGGTCTTTCTGCTGCTGCTCGGAGACTTTATAACATTGATGGAGGGTTTATAACTGACATTAATCAGTTGCGAGGCGATTCTAGAACTAAAGAAAACCCACTACCAAGAAAAGTTGAAAAAACTGCCCAGGTTGGTAATAGGTATAGGGTTTTAAAACTTAATGCTATCTTTGAAGGAATTACTCGACATTGCTTCTTGTTAAAATAGCTTTTGACATGACACGACGTTTTGGAAATGTTTTATAAAAATGCACATCAATAATTTAGGAGTTAATTCAAAAGATAAGATGTTTATTGTTAATATTTGTCCAACCTGATACAGATTTATTCCAGATTTTCATAATCTTTAGCTTTAAGTCTGTTAGCTAAAACAAACCATATCTGCAAACAGTTGGTAAAGATGGTTACCTAGATGTGTTTGTATTTTGGGTACATTTGTTGACAACTAACTGATCTACTAAAAAAATTAACTTAATTATTAATGTATATTATAATGAAGTCATTTTAGTTTACATGTTACATTATAGCGTCAACACAAGGAAAATCCGACAAACGACGCAGTCGATTTAGTTTACACTGCTAACGATTGTAAGAATGGAAACATCAAAGGTTTGCAACATTTCATATGCAATGTTTACCTCTTGCGCCCTTTTCGATGTTGATATATATGTGTCGTGATATATCTCGAAGCATCGATATTATATAGTCATCAAAATGACATCCCAACAATATATTTGACATCCCAATAATGTATATTATTATTTACTTAAGAGATTCCTAGTTTCTCGGCCTTCGGCTTCGGTGGATAACACCAACTTCTGGCTTGATAATTCTTCATATCTTGTTCAACCTAATAAATACCAGTTTTGAAGAAACGTATTCTTTTACTGAAGATATTGTAAATTGCAGACTGTCAAAAGTCAGAGAATATATCTGTGAAAAATTCTGAAGGCTGTGCTGGTAAATATTCTGTTGAAGTGTTTGTGTCTTGTGGAGAACCGTTTGTTCCTTTAGAAGGTAAGCATATGAAGCAATTAATAGAAAAGGGCTAAGTTTTGGCGAAGTTGCAGGATTTTTTGTAGATGAAAATCTGGACCGGAAGAGTATTATTATATACAATTCTTACAATGCAGTTCTGCGACTGGCGAAATTTATAATATTAAGCCAGTTCAAAAAATGTTGACTCCCTTTAATTATCTTCTCATTCTTCGTTCCGAGGAACAATACGATTTCTCTCCAAAGGTATAGGATAAACCAAATGAGATTATTGTGGAAGTTCAGACTGGCCATTTCCTATATTTACATGGAGAGTGTTGCATGCTAACATGTATTTTAATGCTCTTAACTCACATTCCAGAGGTTGAAAAGCAGTACATTCTTCAAATGAAACACCAATATGCAAGAAACTGGGTGGAAAACCACTTGGAGACCGAGAAGCATATTTTGCGACAAATTCAAGGTATGGATTGCTACATATATTGTTTGTTAATATGTTGTCTTCAAACTGTGCTGCAAGGCAAACAGCCATCTAAAGGGGAAGGGACAGAGCCAAACATAATAAAATTTTCACCGTTTTCTCATGTAAAATCTAGGTCGTCGTATAGCTGCTCGTTCGTCAATTGAATCTCGTTCTTGGCAAGACTTGACCAAACAAGAGGAGGTTAAACAGGACAATATCGAGGAATTGACGGTGAGAATGCCCTGTTATTATACTGTCAGAAACGTTTCAGCATGTCCTTTTTGCAACTGTTTTTCCTGTGATAACGATTGTAAAAAGTTGACATATTCTGCCAGCATCCCTTGGACACATCATAATTATACAGTAACAGTTAACATTAATTTCAGTGTTGTAAACCTACAGGCTCGTTTTAACCTTCCTAACGTCTGCGGGAACGCGTCTTGTTCTCGTGTCAAAACATTGAACATTACGTGTCGACATGGCGCTAACTTCCGAAAAGCAAAAGCGACAACCTTTCTTTCAACCTTACCCGAAATAACACCTTCACACCAATTAAAAATAGTGGAAATATGTTAAACTGGACTGCCATTGGAAAGCCGTTGACCTAAGCGTGCAAAAAAATTCAAACAAAAAATCATTCAGACTTTGAATGATAGATGTCACCTAATCGCATTGCGCCATCCCCCCCGGTCATGTGATGTTACGTGCCGACGTCAGGATACCTGGTTACCAAGTTGTTAACCTTGGTTATTGCATAACCTCATTTAGAAGGGTTGCTTTTAGGAGTGGTTATTGGAAGGAAAAATTTCTCTTAGTATCTAAGTATAATACAAGAAAATCACCATGTACCACCCCAGGTCAACTGCTAAATACGCTTAGTTCAAACTTGTGCGGATTTCTATTGTTCTCAGTCGGGTTTTATTTGGGTAAGATTCTTAAAGCAAGGGGAGGGATTTGATATCTCTCCAGGGAAAAGTGGGGTTGTTGAATAGAATTGAATTAATAATTATAAATTCACGGGTTTTATCTATATAAAACCCGGCTTTATATAGATAAAACCCTAGGAAAGCCGGGTTTTATACAGATTTAATTCTTAATTGAGTCGGTTTTCTTTCATGTACCGAGGTGATTATTTTTAATAATAACCTTGAATATTAATTAGCTAAAAAGATGAAGGAAAACTCAGAAAATCGTCGTTCAAAGCAGACGAAACAGACAAAACTTTGTTGGAAAACC